CTGAAAAGATTTTTGGAAAGCATTTTTCGAAATTTTGCATTTCAACATTGTTCTTTTCAGCATGCGTTTTGCTTTCTTCAACCATACACAAAAAATAGCCCGACAAAAGAGCTTGAGCCTTATTTTTTAAGTCGCTTTTCCACCTTGACAAACAGTTCCTTTGGCATTGAAATGATGCGGTTGCCTTCATATTTTGGTGGGTGCTGAAAAATTGAGAATAATATGCAATTAATGAATGCATGTGTAGAAATTTTGAGCATTGCTTAGCCTTTAAACATTCTAAATTCAAAACTTTCTATTGAGCTCTCCAAGAATGCTTTGCTATGTCTGTATATATGAGTCATAATTGTATTCTGGTTAGGCGTCAACCCGATGTACCCATAATAATACCAGGGGTACCCGAGATTTAATTTCAAGTACTTACGCTCGTTTTTGAACATTTCGACAGTTTGAAAGATTGGATCAAGAGGCCTAAGGCGAGTTTTGTTTCTTCAATGGCGAACCGGATTCCGATGCAAATTCGAGGCCCTTGTCCGAACGGAAAGTACGTATACGGGACCAGTTTTGACTTGTTCTCGGGTGCAAACCTGTCAGAAAATTTTCGAAAAATGAACAGGATGAAATTATAAATTTTGTGTGTTGTTGTTAACTTGTAATGTCATAGCTCACAGGTTAGTTCCCTGGTCTTGCCAACCTTCAAGAGGAAGATTAGATGAATGCTGACTAATTTAATTTTAGAGTTGCTCTTTGTAGTCAGCACTCATCAGGTACATTAAGTACCCCTAGGTGACTTTTAAGTAAATAGCACAAGTCCTTTTGCTGAACAAGTATTATATTTTCTTATATCAATTGCATACAACAACATATCCTGCAACAGACTTCTCCTTGCAGAAGGACTTTAACCACTGAATATTACAGAAGGTCTAGGGGCCTTTTATCAACTATAGGAGGACCAGACTGAGGTTGTGACAGAATAATTAGACACCTGCATGACATCACACACTGGGCATTCTCTCAAGTAATCAAGAATGCTTCAGAACTTTTGAAAACATTCCAATCGTACTGCCTATAGATATGGCAGTCCATTCCAAGTGTGTAGTAGAATTTGTCACCTGTGGCTTTCAGCCAATCAGGTCGACAGTCTGGCACCAACCGTTATGAGATTAACATCAATCTCCCCGCTTTTCATGTGTGAATCCCATTTTACCTGTGAATCTGATTTTTTATGTGAATTCAATTTATTATTGTGATTCAAATCTCTTGTGTTATCTTGTGATCTTTGAATTAATTTTGGGTAAAGAACTGCAGTTGATATTTTACCTTTTGGGATTTCCTGAAGCAAATCCCCAGCTAAATGATGTGTTTTATTTTTGGAGGTATCACCTTTTTTCAGCCTCCTTTTGTAATTCTTGATTACAGAGGTCATTGTACTAGAATGAGAATCAGACAAACCAAAGAAGAAGAACCTGGCAACAGCGTTTCATGAGCATAATTAACTGGTGGACCATTGCCTTGGGCAAAGGTAATCTATTCTAAGAGAGAGAGCGAGAGAGACAGAGGGAGAGAGAGAGAGACAGAGAAAGAGACAGAGACAGAGAGAGAGAGAGAGAGAGAGAGAGAGAGAGAGAGAGAGAGAGAGAG